CAAAGTTTCCTTTGCCACATCTGATGCAAAGAGGCGTAAACTGGTTCTTGCATATGAATAAGCATACATAAATACACACAGCCAAAAAAAAAAAATACATTTAATATCCATGGAATTCGAGATATAATAAAGATAACTCCTTTATGTTTCTTGAGGTTAGGCAATTATTGCTTTTCAGTAAAAAAAAATATGACAACCTTTCATGTTTCAGTTGAAGTCTCTAAATGTTAAGGAGTATACATTCGAAAACATTCTTATTGTAAGCCTGTTTTCTACTTACATATAATAATAATAATAATAATAATAATGATAATGCCTACTAAATAATAATAATAATAATAATAATAATGATAATGCCTACTAAATAATAATAATAATAATAATAATAATGATAATGCCTACTAAATAATAATAATAATAATAATAATAATGATAATGCCTACTAAATAATAATAATAATGATAATGCCTACTAAATAATAATAATAATGCCTACTAGTATGTTTGTTTGTTTAATGTTTAACGACCTATCAATCTATTGCCTACTAGTTTATGATGAGATAATCCCCGGTTGCGGACGTCTGATCAGGCACATTTGTGCTTCTTCAACACCCACAGAGCCAACTTGTGGTTTATACAGCAGCTATTCTGAACGTATCTTATTCACAAATTCTGGAAGACAGCATAATCATCAGTATGACAAAGCCAATCCACTTAAATCCCCGGGTAACGATTTTTATTCATTTCACTCCAAGCAAGGCGATAATGCCACTAAGATATAGAGGGGGGTTACAGGGAGCGAAAAAAGAATAAGATTTTTGTGGGAAGTGAGGAAAAAGACAATAAAAGAACAGGATTTAGGGAGACAGAAAATGATGATTGACATTGCATTTAAACTTTCGACGATTGCAGTTGACTGAGAAGCAAGAAATCGGAAGGAAGTTCCACAGAAGAGAAGTGCGAAAAAAGAAACTGTTAGAATAGAAGCGGCGATTGCATCTAGTTTGTAAAACGGTGAGACCTAATTGCCAAGCTAGTAGCACGCTTAAATTCATGTAGTTGAGGTACTAGGAAAGAAAGCTCATCAGAACAGTTGCCGTGAAACTATTTGTAGAAAAGACAGAGGGAAGCAACATCATGTTGGTGAGAAAGTAAGTCGAGATGTTAACTAAACATTGATTACATTTTATCAAGAATCTTGAAATGTACTGCAGGAGCACCAAGCCAGATATGGTAAAAGTATTCAATGCACGGGCGATTTTTAGATTTATAAATGTGCAAGATGGATCCTGACAAGAAAAAAATTCTGGTACGACACAGTGAACCAACTTTTCTAGCAATAGATGCAGATCGTTATGTCTCTTACTATTGTGATTCAATATAGTTGTCATATAATTATCTCCTAGAATTTAACATCATCCATGTTAATAGTATGTAGAAAAGATGATTAAATGAAGGTAGACTTGTTTTGGGGGCGTTAAAAAGCCATTTCTTGCCCCAATTAACCACTGATTAGAGGTCATTTTCGAGAGCGGTTGCCAGGTTTATTTTGTCGGATATGTCGGATTTGCTATCAAGACAGGAATAAATAATAAATAATGTCCTCTGCATAAATACCGACTTGGGAACTGATGACATCGGAAAGGTCGTTGGTGAAGATCAGAAATAACGTATATCCAAAGATAGAGTCCCGGGAGACCACTGCATTAGCATGAAATGATCTGGAAGTGTACCAGTTCAACAGGATCTTCATTACACGATTTGTTAGGAACGATTGGATTAAGCCAAATATTCGTCTAGACCTTAGACCTATGCAGGCCACCACGACTCCCGTACAGTTTTTTTATACCCAATTTCACTCAAGATTTACTTCAACCCAACTACCATACCAGTGAGCAAATCAAAGTACTAGAGATTGGACTAGAAACTCTCCTGATTTAAATCCAATTGAGAATGTGTGGTCAATCTGCAAGGAAAGACTTCGTGGAATGGACATACGAAGTACTAACACGTGCACTGAGTCATGTTTCATTGGAAAAATACGAAAAAAGGAAATAATAACGGAATTATTCGTTTTATTTCAATTAATTTGCACAAGGGCGTATATTAAATATTTTTCAAGTTAAATATTATGAACCATCAATTGTAAGAAAACAGAATGTAGAGTTGTCAGCGAGAGAAAAGCCTAAAATGCGAACTATGAACTGGTGATGTCAACATCCAACGAGTATCTGGGATGTGTTTTAACAGATGCAGGAAATGAGACACCGAAGTTGCATTGGAACAGTGAAAGATGTATTCCAAAAGAAAAGAGTACTGAACGGTTATATAATATCAATCTTCTTATATTGCATTGAATACTGGCCAATTTCCTCCCAATTATGGAACGGACTCAAGAGACTATAACTATAATCTTAACCTCTTCCAGTCGGGAGTCAACCGTTGTCTATCCTACATATCCTCATCATATTCACCTCTTACTCATTTCCTGTACGTTCTTACATAACCACATTTAGTAACCCTCTATCTTGTGTGGCTCTTGGGTCTTATGAAGAGAAGACTTGAGGCAAAAGAAATGTAGTTCTACAGAAAGATGTTTAGAATGCCATGGACTGAACATGTAAGGAACGAGGAAGTCTTAAGAAAATGGGAACAAAGAGGACATTTCTACTTAGAAAGAGACAGCTGAAACTTGTGTAACACATAATGAGGAAAGAAGGTTTAGAAAACTTGATACATAAAAGAGATATCGGAAGAAAAAGAGACCTGACGAGGTTATATGAATGGATGGTAGAACGGAGAGTAGGAAAGATGGTGAAATGTTAGACATTACTAAGAACTACAAAGGATAGGAAGTAGTGAAGAGCCCTGATCATACATGTCTTCAGGAGCCATGGTACATAGAAGAACCTTAATCAAAAGTTAATTGAGAGATAATATTGCGTTAATATTTTATATTGAGAGGGATTCCCTGCCATGAAAAATAACAAATTCTAACTTTATATCTGACAGACATACTTACTACAAGGTCAGCAGAAAATACACAACTACTTTAGCCACAGGGCGGACCCTAAAAACTTATGATTGTTACTGAAAATGTCCCAAGGAAACTGCATGACTTTTTGCTTGTTCTAGAGCAATTCTATTTTGAAAAGGTCCATGTTGACAACTTAGTCACTTATCTTTTTGGCATAAATTAGTTTAAATTACAAGAGACCCCATGTCGGCATTTCTCATCCTGTTTTCAAATAACCTTTTTCTTCAGCAAAGCACGGCGAAATATTGACCTTTAACACAACGAGATTGTTCCAACCCAAATTATATTATTGTAGCAGCCGGTAGCGATATGAAGAAATGAAAGAAAAAGAAACAAAGAAATATATATGTATCAAGGAGACACGGTGGAGTAATGGTTAGCGGTGCGGATCGAGGAATAGGAGAGCCGAGTTCAAATTTCAGTCGGGTTCATTGTTTTCAAAAAAAGGTACTCTCGGGAAATGGTATGGAACCATCTCTATAGCTATGAATAAATAGAACAGATTGAGTCCTGTAGCTTTAGTTGGAAAACTGTCTAGGAGGAGGAAAAAAACTTTGTATGGAAACCAGGCTTGTAGGTCCTGCCTGTTTAGGTAAAAACCTAGAAATGAAAGGAGAAGAAACAAAGAAATATATATGTATCAAGAAGACACGGTAGAGTAATGGATAGCAGCTCGGATTGAGGAATCGGAGAGCCTAGTTCGAATAACCTTAAAAACAAATTCACCTCGCATGTCGTCTCGAAGAAAGAAAAGGAAATAATGGATTCCTCGGGTTTAGTACAATGGTTCGAACAAAAGACTTAGGCATGGATCGACGTGGATCGCTCTGATTTCGAACCACTCGCCCATGTATTACCCTCGCCACGACTGTGTATTCCACCAGCATGCTCAATCTCAGTCTCACCAGTCTCACCTTCGATCTCTTGCCATCGAGAGACACGTCGATAACAGGAGATCAAGAGGAAGACCAAGGCAATGCTGTTAAAGAAATAGCTTTTAGCAGGACTCGAACTTTCTTTCCATGTTATAGATGTTCTTCTAACACAAGCATCAGTTATTCAGACCTGGGAAACACCTTGTGTGAGCGGAGTCAGAACTACACCTACGCCAGTTATATCGGTCCCAAAGGTCAGTGAATGTAAAACGAAAGCACAGTAAAAGGTGGGAATAGATTTAATATCAAGCTTCTAGTTTGCAGAACAATATTTCCTCCCATAGAATCAATGTCTGGGATCAAGGCGAGCTTTCAATTTAGAGGACATAGACTGTGATTTCACTTGAAGAGAGATGGACTCCGCTTATTCTACTTGCACAAGACACGCTGATATGTGGAAGGAATTGTTCGAGTGTTCAGCGACCCAACAAGCATTCTTTCAGTCAAGGGAATGATGACCATGATGACTTTACAGTGCACAAAATACGTATTTAAATCACCTCTGAATCTATCTTTGATACGAAGCTCCTGCAATTCAGTTTTAAAGTCGAGTGATTGAGTTTTTATTTTACGGCGTATCAACCTTTTGCAAGTTGGTATTTAAAGCTAGAAACTATAGACGGTAATTTTTGGACGATACTAATGATTTACTGATACGTCCTACTAATTAACCCATAGTTGGAGGGAGAAGAGATGGATTCATATCTTTTCCAACGGTATTAGCGCGTAAGTGAATATGACGAACGCGACTGGAATTGGAACCCGGCTCTCCTAGTTTTAATTTTGAGCCATTATTCAAGCCGCACATCCTAGCTTATAGCAACTGTTATTCTACACATGCTGAACTTCGATGATCGCACGAGGAGCGGTGTTTCAATGTGTTATGTCGAACATTAATTAGATCAAACAAATAAAAAGTTGACGGTAAGCGTAAAAGAAAAAAGCTATTTACCTTTTTTATGAATACTCAATGAACATCTTCGTATGATTTGATAGGCATGAAAGGAAAGAAAGAAATGCGTCACTTACCATAAATCCTTGATACCATATTTTGATCTGTCTCTCGGTAAAATGGGTGTGTTTTTTGAGGAATTGCATGTCTTCCTTGGAGAGTTTCTTCTTTGATGGTTTTAAGCCCATTTTGATTTTTACTTCACGTGAAATCTGGGAAACAGAAAATGAAATCTGAAATCGAAACAGAAAAATGTATATATATATATATATATATATATATATATATATATATATATATATATATATATATATATATATATATATATATATATATATATATATATATATATATATATATATATATATATATATATATATATATATATATATATATATATATATATATATATATATTATATATATATATTATATATATATATATATATATATATTATATATATATATATATATATATATATATATATATATATATATATATATATATATATATATATATATATATATATATATATATATATATATATATATATATATATATATATATATATATATATATATATATATATATATATAATGAAAATATATACCTCGAGGTGGTGTAATATATATATATAATCTTGGCTCGCTAAAGCAATTACGACTGAGTAGCGAGTTCGATCCTCACTGGGTGCCTCCTAATTTCGGCCTTGTGCCACATCTAGGCTACGCTTGGAAAATCACTTGGGCACCCCGGCGTGGTGTAATGGTTAGCAAACTTGACTCGCTAGATCAGTTACAACTGAAAAGTGAGTTAGATCCTCACTAGATGCCCCATACTTTCGGCCTTGTGCCACATCTAAGCTACGCTTGGACAATAACAATATATATGGATAAAGACATACATTTTTTTCAGGCTAACTATAAAAGTGAAGGTAAACTATAAAGGATGCGAAGTGATGTAATTTAATATTTAATATCTAATAAACGAAAGCAAGAAAAATCTCGTTACTGTTGTTGCTGAATTATACACACACACTATTAACATGAAACGAACAGACAACTTGCCAAAAGGCCTAACACCTTAATCAAGAGAAAAACTTGAATAAGGAAAAAAAAAAAATGATCTAAAGTCAGGTACCTACATATCCAGTAAATAAAAGTGCTCAACGCCTAGATTAGTGCAAAACATTCTTCCCTATGTTAACTCCTTTCAAAAGACAGCCCGTTAATACTAGTTTCACTCTCATGCGATCTGCTTTGGTATGATTTGTTTGTTTTACGGCATATCAAACTCAATAGGTTATTTAATACCCGACAAGGTTTTTATTGCAAAAATATATTACTGTCAATAATTTCTATCCTCAAAAATGTATTTCAGGTAATATTCTTTTCTTCCAAAAACGTATTGCTGGTAATAATTTTTCCTCAAAGAATTTATTGCTGGTATTAAAATCTATTTTTACAATTTCATAGTGCTTTGAATCCAGTTTGAGGCTTAACTATTTGCCGATAGGTAGGACCCTGACAGATGCTACCACCCCGGATGAGTGTAGACCTGGGAATCCCAGCAATTAAGAAGTGGTTCCACGCTCCTCAAAATTTCATGATCAAAGGCCTTGCTATTGGATGTTGCTGATCTTCTTACCCAGGACCTAACGATATTGATTTATTTTTTTGTTTTCCTTTTTTTTATAAAAATACTTTTTGCAAAATGAAATCCTTACAGTTGCCTTGATAAAGCTCATCAAAGGACGAAAAACATTGGTAAATAAGTTTTCTTTTTTTCTTCATTCACCGAAATTGAAAGAGGATTTAAGGCCGTGGTGTAATGGTTGATACCCATCTCAAAATAGAGATGCTTAAACTGTTTTAAAAAGGGTAAAGGGCACTAGGAAGTGGGTGAAGTGGACTAAGGCGCACTTCCTTAGGTTGGCTAGTTTCTCCTTAATCTATGTCGCAATTTCTGTGATGAGGAATTATCAAGATTTACCTTAATTATAATCAGAATATTGTCTTCGCCTTTGTTGTTTTTACCACAACGTTTCGGCCGTTGTGCCACCATCAGGTTCTTGTCAATCAGGGTAACCTTAAGAGAATTTCGAACAGAAATCTTTATTTAATCTACGGGGCTAAATTGTTCTCGTACCGCTGTCGATGTCTACGGATATATCGTCTAGTTCTTATTTAGTACTACGTAGTTATTGCTTATTTTTGTTTCCACTGATTCTAAGTCAGCACAGCTCGGTCCAGGGGTTGAACTTGCAATGCATGAACCAACGCTTTAATACACAGGCTATTTTCTCGTTAGTATCAAATGGCTGAATTATTTCCAAACAAGTCTCAGATAACGTATTATTTGGCGTATTCTTTTATATATAACAGAGGATGTCTGTGTTTCTGTCTGCCTGTGTGATACCTTTTCACTCGAGATCCATCCAACCGATTTTGAACAAAGTTGGCACATACATTGTAAGAAATTGGTTCTTAGCGTAAAAAATCGACAATTAAAAAAAAAAACAGTAATCGATAAAACCGATCAAAAATCGATAAATTCAGCATTTTTCCGCCGATTTCGTTCAAACTCGGTATGTAGGTTACTTACATCATGAAGAGTTCAACGATACTTCAGTTTTATTTCTTCGCCACTGCGTTTAGCGAAAAACCGATTTCAACACAAATTTTAAACTAAAAACTCCCTCAATTTTCAAGCAATCTAATACAAACTTCACTCAATTGTAGCCAACAATAAATTGATAATTTAACAGTCATTTAACTTGATAACTGAGTCCACACATATAGTGAAAACCCGCGGAAATAGCGAAAAATGGCGATTTTTACTGGTTTCTTATTTTTCGTTGATCTTTCAACCAAATTTCATGAGATTAACAAATACTTTATAAATGTACCCTCATTTACATCCCTGGTAGCACACTGACAAATTGAATATCAAAAACTGCAAAATAATTGTGGTCTGAAGTGGATCTTCATGTTGCCTGTTTTACTCCTTCATGTCCTCGGCTAACTTCAATTGAATAAATACAGAGTACTTTCTTATATCAGTAACTGCATGAATTCAAAATGCTTTTTGATGAAATTACTTTAAAGTAATTGAAGAAAATAGCCTCTGTTACATCTAAACATGATGCTGTTTTTGATCCATTCTAACTGAACGGTTTTTTTCCTGATCGACCATCTAGGTATGGCTGCTAGTTTCGTATAAATGCAAGAATCATGTGTTTAATCCTTTCTCTGTCGGAAAAGGGAATTCATGATGTTAGAAAGAAGAAAATCTATCGCATATCAAACATTTTCATGTTTAAATAAGTCACATTAGTATAGTAATTAAGGATTCTCATTGGTCACACTAACGAGCGTACAAATGAACCGTTGCCGGTTTCCAATAATAATCAATTAGTCTCTGTGCTTTCGTCGATTTGCCAATCATACAAACGATTTATTTGAGCTTTAACCAATTTTAACCCGTGCAGTCATGTCCGAGAAAATCAGAAACATTCTAAGATACTACAAGGCTCGAACATACAACCAACGTCTTCAAGGACTACTAAGTTGATCTCGGCAAAATTCAGCTATATACATATAATTAGTATTAATAATAAAATTCACCTTTTCCAATCGTGTATTTGTTGCTGGGCGTACTACTATTCAGGTTTTGTGTTATTAAACGGTTGAAGAGGGGTTTTCTAGAAGTTAACGCCTTTAACGCAAGCAGACTTTTTATTAAAGTGGTCGATATTAAGAACTTCGTATTAATAAGAGAAAAATTTCCAGCATTTTTATGCCAAATTATTTGGTTTAGAAGAATTTATCGTACCATTATTGAATCATCTTATGATTTTGCACCAATTCAACATGAAAAAAAGGCTTGGAAATTTTGTTAAAATAGAAGAATGGGACATTCTGATAAACAGAAGGAATCAAAATATATTATTCTACCCACCAATTCTCTCATAACTACAATTGAAAAGAATATATCTAAACTTACCATAAAATTACACTAGTTCTAAAACAGTAAGAGATTTAACATAAAATAATAATAAGCTAAAACTTGAAGGAAGAATTTACTCTATCACTATTTACTGTAATAATTGCCATAAAGAATACATAGTAGAAAATAAAATAGGAATTTAAATAAACGATTATGTGAACACAAAAGGGATCTTTTACAAAACAATACACTCAATGTATTAGTTGCTTACTGTAATGAGTTTGACCAGAATTCGATTAAAAAACAGTTACTTTAATTAAAAGAACAACTAGCTTTTTACTAAGATAAAAGGACATAGAAAGTTATTCAATCACTAGATAAGCTCCAGGAAATTTGCGTCCACGTTCTTAAAACATTTCACCTTCTTTGGCAGATGTATTATTATGTTGGACATTTCATAACAAAAGTGATAAAATTATAAACAAAAAGAAACGAAATTAAATTGGCTTGACTATATATCCAAAAAATAAAGTTTAAAATTTAAGCGTCCTGTCTTCATGCGCAGATGTAGTGACATCAACATAAACGCCACTTTAGTCTGATGAAGTCTGTAAAGATGAAAAAAGAATTTCCACTTTGTCATTAATATTCCTAAAAGCTTTTCAAGTAAACTATGCTTTTATTAAACAAAAACAGTCCTGGCTTTGATTTGATCTGATATACTTACCATTTGCATATACGCGAGCAGATACAAGGCTGACAGTAAATGTAACAACTTGACAAATCGAAGAGTACTTCACCCATGAGTTTGCTTACTCATTTCGTCAAGTATAATGAACTGATAAAAATATTTTAAAGATATTTAACAGTGGGTCAGTGTGTAGAAATGTGAATTCATACATTTTCAAGGGTATTAATGCGAAACGAACTCAATCAGCTTCAGCCGGAATTCGATCTCAGTTACTGTATTCCATTGTCTGTGACTATAACCGTTACGCCAACGCGTACCTTTGCACATGCATCTACATATTACCTGCAACTGATATTCGTACTACTCAGCATACTCTGCAAAAATATTCAACAATTTCTATGGCCACCTCGATCGCTAGATTTTTCACCCATTTTGTATGTATGGGGCATGATGGAACGATGACTGACTCGTCCACTTAAACCCACCTACAACGCTTGCTGTATTTTATCGAGACGGGAAATGCTGTATTGTAGGATGATATTTGCTACC